CGGGTGAAATATACCCAAGTTCAGGTTGTTATTAAAGTTAACTTCCAATGGCAAACTTTAATTTTGCTTGCGCAGGAGATGGTGTCACGACTTTCATACCAAATGCAACACCACCAGTTGGAATGACTGAAAGCAAGGTTGCAACTATAGGTAAACACAACTGAAAATTCTACTCCATTGCAAGGATCTGTACTGAATGGGAATATTGTGCCTATTGGCATCCTTGACAAAACTAGTAAAATTTATTTGAAAGAACAGTTGAGATCTGACAAAGCATGGCTTATGTACCAGTTTATGCACTAACATATGAGAACACTGTTTGGGTGAAATATACTAAGTTCAGGTTGTTATTAACATCAACTTCCAGTGATACAAACTTCAATTTGCTTGTGCAGGAGAAGGTGTGATGACTTTCATACCGAATGCGATACCACCAGTAGGAATGACTGAAAGTAACGCGGCAACTCTAGGTAAACGTAATTGAAAATTCTACTCTATCATGAGGATCCGTACTGAATAAGAATATCGTGCCTACCGGCATCATTGACAAAACTGGTAAAATTTACTTGAAAGAACAGTTAAGATCTGACGAGGCGTAGCTTATATATCATTTTATATATGAGGACATGAAAATACTGTTTGGTGAAATACACCCAAGTTCAGGTTGTTATTAAAGTTAATTTCCGGTGATCCAAACTTCGATTAGTTTGTGCAGGAGATGGTGTCAAGACTTTCATACCAAATGCATTACCAGCACAAGGATCTGTACTGAATGGAAATATTGTGCCTATTGGCATCATTGACAAAACTGGTAAAATTTACTTGAAAGAATAGATGTGTGAAATTTAGAATATGCAGTGACAAAATCCAAACTGTCCGCAGTTTCACTGTAATCAAAATTGAACATGATGTTCTTAAACCTCAACCAGTTGTGTACTAGAAGTCTAGAACATGTTACTGAAACTATTCCTTGTTTATGCTACAAGACTTCATAGATTCATTAAAAGCATAAACTTTTCCGTAGCTTAGCATTTCATATTACTATAACTAACAAAATTCAATTGTAATTTTTGCAGAAATTTTTGTTAAGAAGCCAAAAAGCGAGATCGAAGGAGATGATGTGAGAATTCAAGTTGGAGACACACCACCTGTTGTTCCTCCAATTTTCCCAATAACAGATGTTTTCCTAACTGATGTAAGAATACCAGAGACCGTCATCCAATCACCAAGTTCCAGGTCATTGGAGATAGTCAAAAGTATCGTATATGGAGGTATGATGGAGTCAATTGCAAGCTTAAGTGTTGTTTCATCAGCAGCAGCTTCTGACGCTACCACATGTAAGCCTCTTTCACCATAACTATTTCCACTTTCATTTCCTTCCCCTATATAATATCCCCAAATATTAAAAGAAGCCATGTTAATTAAATCTCAGTTAATCTAAGTATTAAACTACTTTTAGGCTTTTAGCCTTCAATTTCCAAGTTTGACCAGATTGTTTAAGCGGAATAAGGGTAGAATTTTCAGTTGAAATAATAGGCGTAACGTCCCTGCTAGGCGTGATTTTAATTTCTCAAAACACAAAATTTTCAAGAACTAGATTGCTCTATCGGCGCTACAATTAACCCTTGCAAAAGAAGTCAGACTGATCAAAACTGATTCAGTACGCAAATCAAAAGTTTAGACGTTATCTTAAGCTAGAAGTTTTATAGCCGATCTATTTCATTCCTGAGATTGGTGAAGTTTCACTCACGCATCTGAATTGTTTCAGTGAACATTGTGGCACTTGGATTGGCAAACCTCGTTGGTGGACTTGTCGTCCTTGCTCATAATGTAAGTTATTCTCGCTAAAGAAATTAGCTCATCCAACTCCACCCCTTTGCCCTGATAATGGTAGCCTATCTTAGAAATTCTCAACTTGCTTAATTGGTCACAGCTTAGGGACTTGAGATACGGAGACTCTAGTGAAACCAATGAAAGCAGATACGAGGAACAACTTGGTCGGAAAGAGCATTTCTTTCTTCATGCAATGCTAGCTGTGCTATCGTACCTTGTATTTGGCCTAATCCCACCTGTAATATACGGCTTCACATTCCGTGAGAGTGATGATAGGGATTACAAGATTTTGGCAGTTGCAGCAGCTTCTCTTTTGTGCATTGTTATTCTTGCAATTGCAAAGGCATACACACGGGGGGAACACAAGTTCATGGCATACTTCAAAACCATACTGTACTACGTTACTTCAGCAGTGATGGTCTCAGGCATTGCCTATGCTGTGGGTAACTTAGTCAACAAGCTCCTAGAGAGACTAGGTTGGTTGAACCCTGCTACAGTTGAGCCTCAGTTGGGTTTTCTCAAGCCAAGTCATTCAATCCAACCAGCTGGGCTTCGTACTGATCATACTGTGAAGCTTCAGCTGGAGGTTGCGCCTTTTTTTTTTTTTTTTGGTGTGTTGTTCTCTTTACCAGCGTTGGGGTCGGTTAGGGTTTGAAGAAAGACTTGGGTTGTTTCTTGGTAATTTTATCTTCCTGAGCCAAGTTTGGGAAGTTTGGGACCTCGGATTGTAAGTTCTTTCCTTTGCTGAGGTATAAGAGTATCTAGTTTGAGTTTATGTGTGTGATGTCTGGTTTAATGAGGCTGCTCCGCTTGAGCAGATTTTATAGCTTGATTAGCGTATCTCGAACATTTGTTGATTGGAAGAGAAAAAGCAGAACAGAGGATGGAGTAAGCGACATCAAGCAAATCAAGTGCATTAGTCGATACATGCAGTTTGGTTACAGGAATGAACCGGCTGGAAGCCAGGACCTTTTTGTGTGGAGTATTTGAAATATGTTTGATTTTCCTTTTCGTGTTTGAGCATATTGAGATATGCCAACTTTTCCTACAGATTTTATCAGATTGAGTTTGATATCAAAATAATTTAGTTATTAAAAAATAAGAATATTTGTTAACCAAAGATCATGTTGATTTGTTAACAAATATATTAACTAAGATTTGCTAGTAGTAGAAGATTATATTTTGTTGAGATTTTTAGAATAATTGTTAGTTAGATATTTTGTTAGTTTGTTTCATGTAATCACTATAAATAGTGAATTGATATATGTAGAACAGAAGCTCATTTCACCTTCAATACAAGTTTCTTATAAGTTTTTTTTTTGCAACACTAAAGTGTTATTTCTTAGTTTATGTTCCAAAAAGCCAACAAAATGATATCAAGAGCCTAAATCTTAAGGGTCTGTTTCTTTGAGAGTGAGTGAATCTGGTGAAAATTCCTTTTTCACACTAAAGCCCTCAACATCAAAATGTCAGGAAACAACTTCTTGTCTGTGTTTTCAAACTCGGACCGGACCGGCCGGTCCGACCGGTTGAACCGGGAACCGGCCAAGTGTCCGGTCCGAGTTGGTCATCAGAACCGGGAGATTCAAGACCCGGTCAACTCCGGTCAAAAACCGGGTTTGACCGGTACAAAACGGGAAAAATCGGTCCAACAGGAGCTTTTGTAAAAAAAGTTCAAACTTTTTTAATATTATGTTTTGGCCCCCTAAATTATGAAAACTTATTAATATACCTCAAATATTTCATAGTTTATAAATATTGTCCTAAAATTTGATGTTATTTTTCAATTAAATCCATAATTTTAATTCTAAACTTGTTAATGTTTATTAAATAATATAAATTGTTACTTGATTGTTCTAATTTTTTTGTATTTTCTTGTTAAATATATTTGAAACATCAAATATATTTGAAACATCAAATATATATGAATATACCTTTATTAATATCAATATGTTATTGGATATTTTATATACAATAATTTAATTTTTAAATAATTTTTATTTATGACATCATCCGATTCGACCCCTATCGACCCCCGGTCGAACCCATTGACCCCTAACCCCTGACCTCGGCCGAGTCGATATCCGGTCCGGTTCTGAAAACATAGCTTCTTGTCCAATCCTCCAAGTTTTACTGGTGAAAATTACCAAATCTGGACTATCAAAATGAAGTCCTATTTGGATGCTAATGATCTTTGGGATGTGGTAGAGACAGATCCTGTTTCTGAATTATCAGAAGATCCAACTATTGCAGAGATGAGAGCCCATAGAGATGCAGTCAAAAGGAGATAAAAAATCATAACTTGCATTCATTTAGCAGTTTCCGATGCAGTATTCACAAAAATTATGACTTGTGAAACTGTAAAAGAATCTTGGGATGCTTTCAAAGTAGCTTTTCAAGGCAATGACAGAACAAGGCAGATGTAAGTTTTGAGCCTTAAGAGAGAATTTGAACTCCTTAGGATGAAAGACAAAGAAAACATTAAAGAGTATTCTAACATACTCTTAAATGTTGTGAACAAAATCAGATTGATTAGAGAACAACTTCCAAATAGCAGAGTTATGGAGAAAGTCTTGGTGAGTTTACTAGAAAGGTTTAAAACCAAGATTTCTTCTCTTGAAGATTCAAAAGATCTCTCTCGGATGACCTTGCTAGAATTGATCAATGCTCTAGAGGCACAAGAACACAGACGAGCCATAAGAATTGAAGAAATTATTGAAGGTGCTTTTCAAGCAATAAATAAGGATCAAATTCGACAAGGTAAAAGAAATGATCAAGAAAAAAATAGCAAAGATGAGAAGAAAAATGACAAAAATCCTCCGTGTCCACACTGTAAGAAAACCTCACATCTTTCAATATATTATTGGTTTAGACCTGACATTTAATGTAGGTTTTGTAAGCAAATAGGACATATGGAGAGAGTTTGCAAAAATAAAGGAAAAAGAGAACATCACGCTCAGATGGTTGATGAACAAGATGAGGAGCAACTTTTCATGGCCACATGTTTTGCAAGCAATAATTCCAATACTGAAACTTGGCTAATAAATAGTGGTTGCACTCATCACATGGCATATGATAATTCCAATACTGAAACTTAGTAGTATGACACAGGTAATGAGGGTCAAGGAGGCCACCTAGGTGCTTTTGGGCAGTAGATTAAATACTCATCACGGACGGACATCATCAGTCACTTTCTGAAGCCTTCTTGTGTCTTGGTTCATCATTACCCACTTGCTGCAATAGAAATCATAATCAAATCCAGTTATGTAACAGGTCTGAAACACAAGATCAGAACTTATACCATGTAACCATATATACGGTAGGAAATCTCACAACATGATTATAAACTGTGAATGAAGAATTTCTTAAAAAGCCAAACAATAAAACCTAGACAATGCAAAAAAGATCAGCAGGTTCACAATGTTGGGCTAAATAGACATCTGATTTAAGGTGCATGATGCACACCATCTCGCTGGTCTTAGCCTCTTGCAGTCAATATGAAAATTCACCTGGTGGCTCTTCCGATGACTTCACCATTGGCATAGTCTTTAAGGATCCAATCACGTCTAGTACCAATTCTTCCTTCACTTTGACACCACGTCTCAATTTCAACTACATCACTCCTGTCACAGAGACTCCCCACATGAAACACATATAAAAGAGAAAAAGCCCATTGCTTTGACTGATGAATGCAAAATGAGTGGTGTGGTTACTACCAAGCAGGATACTTGTAAATTTCAATCTGCATGCGAGAAGTCACCCATATGAGGTGCAGTTTTCTCATAGTATGTGTTGTTGCAAATCCATCCGTTGAAAACCCAACACTCTGAGCATGGTTGCATCCAACTTCCTGCACAACAAATTTTTAAATGTGTAATTTAACAAAGCAACACAGTTTCAGCAAAACTGAGATAAGCTCACTCATCTTTCATTTCTGTTCTCAAATTCATTATGCATGGCTTGCTATATTCAAGAAAGAAAATTATCCAAACAAAACAAAAATCTAGCGTAACTGGAGAGATAAATCAGCAACACAAGCTACAATGGTTGGGGCAGTAGGAAAAGAAAAAAACTTTGGGATTAACTAGAGTTTGATTGTGGTTTAAAATATTAGTATACAATTAACTAGAGTTTGAAATGGAATTAAATTTATTTAGTATTTTACTGCTAACAACTTTGATCCCATTTAATGGTTAAAGAAAAAATAAAAGAGACGTAGAGACTGGGATTAGTTCCTTAGTGTGAAAAAGGAAGATTCTTTTAAACTAATGCTGCGTGAAATTCTGGATGCATATGAAATTAGAAATATGATAACTTTGCAATTCATTCTCATTCATGATGAATTTCTCCAATTCTATATAGAATCGCAATTTTTTTTTCAGCATGAAAACATTCTTTTTTTGTCATATTGATAGCTTTTGCTTTTAAGATTATCTAGATGTCAATGGTTAGTATTATTGACAAGGTTAGAGGTCATGGAAAATGTTACTAATTTTAGAAGAAATTATGTATTGTAAAAATGGTTTAATAATTTTCTATTAACCATAACTACTGCATACAAAAGGAAAAGATATTTGATTTTATTTTGCTTTGATTAGAAGAACTTGTACTAGTAATAAAGGAAATTTCAATTCAACAATCAACATGCACATGATTACAGTAATTTTTTTAGTCATTTAGACTAATATATGCCATAAAATAGTCAGATTTAGTCGTTTGTGAATTAATAATTTTAACAGTTTACATAAAAAATTTTATAATAATTTACATACCATTTGCCAATAAAAAAAGAGTTTGATAGAAAACATATGGATGCAAATCCAAAATGCAAATGATACAAAATATGTTTAAAAGTCACAGAATTTAACATATGGGTAATTTTGCTATAATTTTCAAAGATTATGTTATGTTAATACAACTTTAATTTTTATACTTGTAACCCAGAAAATAAATTTATTAAGATTTTACCATTTTATTAAACTCATAGGTATTAATATATGAAAATTGTGTACATTGTCATTATATTCATAAGTGTCAATATATGGAAATTGTGATGTATAGATAAGTTCAATTCTATATATAACTCGAAAGATTTGTTGTTACTGTCATCCAAATTTTCTAACCTTTCACAAATTCAAAAATAACTCAAGATTTATAATATGACAAATTATTCTTACATATTTTATAAGGTCATATGTAAAAAAAAAAATGTTTTCATAGTATATTTAAAATGCTTAAAACATATAACATTTATAAATGATACGTACAATTGTGTATCATACATTTATATTACGAGTAATTACTAATTATAAGTGCCTGTTTGATAACATAAAAAAGTGCTGAAACTGAATTCATTCAGACATTCAGATGTTGTGGGTGTTTGATAAATAAAAATTTACCTGTTGAACTTATTAAGTGGTGCTGAATTTGTATGTATTTTTTTCAGCACAAAAATCTTAGCTGAATGCTTAATTTGATAAGAATCAAGAGATTTACTTCAACTACTTTATCTTATCTACCAAATATATCCCTGTTTATTAATTACATTCAAAATCCTTATCTAATTAAACAACTTAATATTCCCTATTCAAAATCCTTATATAATTAAACAAAACAACCTGATATTCTCTATTCAAAATTTTTTTTAACAATAGTATTTTTTTGCAGTAATTTTCATCCACAAACATTTATATTTTGATATTTTTTTGTGCAGATAAATATTATTTATGTGATGCAGCTTATCCACACACACGTGACTTTATGACACCATATCGAAATATTAGATATTGGTTGTCTGATTTTCGAAATACTTCTCGTTCGAAATCAAAAGAAGAACGCTTTAACCAAACACATGTAAGATTGAGAAATGTAATTGAACGTGCTTTTGGAGTATTAAAAGCTTGTTTTTCCATTCTCAAAACGATGAAACCATAACCTTTTTCCACACAAAGAAACATTGTCATTGTATGCATTGCTCTTCACAATCATTGTCATTTTCATACCTAACAATTTTAAGTTTATTAAATCATAAGTTCTATTTCCTTTTTGGATTAAAAGATAGAAGGGCAAAATTGTACAATTTAGCTTATTAAGTATTAAATTATGAATATTTATCAAACAGTATAAATAGATTCAGTATTAAGATTCAGACATTCATATATCTCTCTTCAGTACTTAAAATTCAGCAAATTAATTATTTCAGTATTCAGAATTTAGAATTCAGAATTTAGATTCAGTGTTATCAAACGGAGCCTAATACTAAGTTTCAATTATTAATACAAAATCTTAACATTATTTTAAATAAACTTCCTAATACTTGTTTCATATAAGTTTTTTTAAGTTAAATAGTAAATTTATGTCACAAACTAGTAAGTTTTGATGATTAACCAAATTTACTATTCTATCAACAATATTTACTATTAATCTATAAAAATTTACTATTATTTGAACTAAACTTACTCTTCAAAAAGTAAGTTTCGAATATAGAGTAGTAATTTACTTCAAAAAAAATAAGTTCCATATTTATTCAAATTTAATTCTTGAGACATAAAAGTTACCAATTTATTGAGTTAACTTACTATTTTTTATGTAAAACTTACTAACTAAAATTTTAGGTACTATTTTATTTTGGATGATCAGTACAGCAGGTAATCAAATGGTCGCTAAAAGTAATTTTACTTGTTATATTAGGTAAAAACAGTTTCTTAACGTTCCTATTTCGTGCTTGGTTATAGCGGTGGTCCAGTTTTAGCATTATTAGAAGTTACCCAAACTTTTCCTCCAGCGACCACATTTATGTTTCGTAACCTCAATCGTTGCCGACAAAATTGGGAGGAAACAAGAAAATACGACAGTAATAATAATAATGATAGTAAGTTATAATCAGAAGATGGCCCGTAAGAAAGGCCTAATAAAAGGAAAAGTATAAACAAGATGGCCATCATTTTCGAAAATACCAAAGTCAAATTACACTTCCCTTGTGATTAACATCAAGCTTCTCTGGCTTTGTTTTGCTCCAATTTTAGGAACTCATGGGCTGGCTGGCATGAAGGCAACGCCTAGCCAATACCAAAGAAGATTCGTAGAACGCTCGGATTTAGTAATTAAATGTGGAGGAGGAGAGAATCCGAATATCAGGATACGGACAGAGCAGCGATCAATGGTGGTGTGACAGAAGAAAACCAGATCTAAAACTCGTTTTCTATAACGTATGGTGTCTCGCGCTTCTTCAATCGAAATGAAGTATGAGAAGAAAAGAGAGTCTCCACCACTATGTAATGAGCCCACGTTTTCCGCATCCGCTATTAATAAGGACATTTATTTCATTACTGCAGCAGGGACGAGTCTACTCCCAACACTAGCTTTACTTTTGAGCAGTGACAGATGTAATTGCGAGAAGCTGGTACAACAGTTCGGTGGTTGAATTGATGAAGGGTCGGTGCTCTTGCAACACAATGAAGTGAAGATTGAAGATGTCAAGATGTTAGGTGACGGAATTCAATTGCAGACAATCCTCTTTTAAATTGAATTTCCTCCCAAAATTTCAGGATTATTGTTTTGCCCATCTGATCTTTGTCGTGTCTTCTTCACTTAAAAATCGCTAGCTCCTCTTTAAGTATAGATACCGATGGCCATGGGAATCGAGCTTAAAACCTTACGATACAACAATTCTGGAGTTGTTTCTAATTTAGATGTAGATGGGGATATTGATATGAGTAATCAAGATATAGATGATACTAAAACAGTTAACAGATTCTATTTAAGGACCTTATGATACAACAACTCTTGAAATTCCTGAGTCGTTTCTAATGTAGATAACTATACATATATATATGGTGCTAATAGCTAAAAAAGACTAGTCAAAGCGAAAGAAAAATATATATACATATATATATATATATATATATATTTAGGTTGGCTTGTGAATGGAATAAAGGGACAGCTATAGTCATGCGTTCAAACAGGAGGAAAATGGTAAGAGCATCCACAATGTTACTCCCTTCGTCCCACTTTGATAGTTCTGTTTTTTTTTTTTATTTGTCCCAAATTGTATGGTGGTAACATAGCTGATAAAAGGCCATACAAAAATTTGAAGGATTGTTTTATGTCTCTCATAACAATCATTTTTTGTATTGTGAATTTCTTCTTCAGGTTCATCTATTACGTATGGGAATTGCACTTTCAAGTTGCAAAAAAGTCATTTGAATACATCGAAAATTTTGGTATTGATTTTGAAGTTTGGCTCAAGAAACATTGCAAGACTGATGGTCAGATTGCAGACATTTTTATGAAAGGCTTGTCCAAAACAAGGTTCAAAGATTTGAGAAGGCAATTGAAAATCTGCAGCAAAAGTGGCAAGGAGGAGTATTGAGATATGCCAACTTTTCCTACAGATTTTATCAGATTGGGGTTGATATCAAAATAATTTAGTTATTAGAAAATAAGGATATTTGTTAACCAAAAATCATGTTGGTTTGTTAACAAATATATTAGCTAAGATTTGCTAGTAGTAGAAGATTATATTTTGTTGAGATTTTTAGGATAATTGTTAGTTGGATATTTTGATAGTTTGTTTCATGTAATCACTATAAATAATGATTTGATGAATATAGAACAGAAGCTCATTTCACCTTCAATACAAAGTCTTTTATAAGTTTTTTTTTTTTTTTTTTGCAACACTAAAGTGTTGTTTCTTAGTTTATGCTCCAAAAAAGCCAAGAGAGCAATTGCACTCAAAGCCCTAAATTGAGGCCGGCAAGTAGCAAAAAAAGCAGAAATCTAATATGTAGCTGCGTTCCAAGGAAATGCAGTTTGTAAGAATGGTATTTCAGCTACCAAAAAATTAGGCCTTCAGCTTCGGTTGACTTCAATACTTCTTTTTTTATCAATTTTTGAAACGATTGACTCTTTATTTGTTTTTTTTTTAATGTTTTGTTTACACACACTCTCTGGCTCTGGAACCAAAAAATAAAAATAAAAAGGTATAAAATGAAATTGCTACGTGCTTCACTAGTTTCGTCTCTTTATATCTTCAGCCGCCGAATATTGCGCACAAATTGGAAAAGACAAATACATGAATAAATAACACGCATGTGCAGAAGTATATATACGTAATACTTGAGTTTTGTGATCAATTCGTAAGGATTAATTATATCTGCCACTGCCAAGAATTCCTAATCGACCATCATTTCCGAGCCATAACCTGGTCAGCTAGCTAACAACAATACATCCCCTCGTGTTACACCCCAGCAAGTTACGTCAAGCTCCTCTGGCTTTGTTTTCTGCGACTCGCATGAAGGCAACACCGAGCCAATTAATACCGCCAGGATTTAGTAATTGAATATGGAGGAGAACCTGGACAGAATATCAGGATACGGACAGAAGAAAACCAGATGCATGGCTCACACCCTAAAACTCCTTTTCTAAGGCTTAAAGTCTAGCTTGATGCCTCATCACGTTCATTTTTTTTTTCTTTTTATTTTAATGGAAATGAACAATGGGAAAGAAGAGACAGTCTGCACTCTCCACCACGTAATGAGCCCACGTTTTCCGCGTCTACTAATCGTGCATGGATACGTTTTCCACGTTTTCATTAACTATCAATTAATTAGTGCAGCAGGGACAAGTCCGCTTCCTTCCAACATATAGGCTCTACGCTGAGCAGTGTGGCAGATATAATTGCGAGAAGCTAGTACAACAACTTTTCAGTGCAACATGCATATAGTTAAGTCAAGACTGAACATGTCAGGATGTTATGTGGGAGAGTTCAATTGCAGACCATCCTCTTCTCTTCCTAAATCAAAAGAAATCAAATTTTTGTGGCAACAAGTTTTTTTATTTACAGTATTCGCTACATAAAGATCGTATTTGATTCTTCTCTCTTTTTTTATTTTTTAAGAATAAGAAAATAAAATAAATTAGTTTTCTTGAACCAGCAAGCGAGGAAAATGCCAGCTAGCAAGCGAGGAGTAATAATACACAGCAGTGTATTATTGAATAGTTCGTTTCTTGACCTAGAACTAGCTTTCACACGCTGTATTCTTCGTATTTAATTGGACTGACCTAAATTCTAGGCTATAATTAAGAAGGCTTCGCCAAACAAGAACTTGCACCTTTGCAAGCCAGCTAGCTGGCTAGCAGCTAGCCAGTCATCCATAATTCCATAATATTTACCACTGCATGCATCCCTCACGGTTTTTTCTTAAATGAAGAAACGAATGTATTCTGCTAATGTAGAAAACCAACATAAAGGTGACAAATGGATAGTGGTGGGCCAAGCAAGCAAGGACAAGCAAACTTGTTAGCCGGCCAGGCATCAAGGGCAAAACCGGCAACATAATTTGTTGTGGGACCTCTCGGAATTGACAATGGCGCGAAATGGTCAGTAAAACCTTCTGTTGGCGCCAAAGAAATGCAATGGCGCGAAATGTATTCTGACGATTAAGATATTTCCAAATTGCCCGCGTGCCACTGGTCAGGAGGGAGATTTGTTATCAAAACTTGGATTTGTTTAAAGGCGTGCTCTATCATTTTGGCAAGTGGCGTGCTTTAACTTTCATGAAAACCACACGCTTTTAAGTTATTATAATTAATTGATATATATGAGATCATATTAGTAACTTTAATCAACTATGTTCGACTTAGTTGACCATGAACAATCATATAAATTAGTCCTATTAATAGTTGTATAAATAAGCCTAAGTAGTTATAATCGTTGGAATCCACTATCTGACAATGATCTAACAACAAATTGAGAGATAACAATGATCCATATCTATCACCATCTTATGAGCTAGCATCAAGGAATCGACAATAGATTAGACCCTTAATTAGTTATAATCGTCGGAATTGACTGTCCAATTTAATTGTTATAATGAGTTGTTATCATCTTAGCCCAACAACGAATTGGGGAATTCATAGGAAGATGATCCATATATACAATCGTCTACTTATGAGGTAGCACCAAGGAATCTATAATCAAATTAGAGACTTAATTAGTTATAATCGTCGGAATTGACTATCCAATTTAATTGTTATAATGAGTTGTTATCATCTTAGCCCAACAACGAATTGGAGAATTCATCGATTCCGATGATCCATATCTACAATTGTCTACTTATGAGTTAGCACCAAGGAATCTATAATCAAATTAGAGACTTAATTAGTTATAATCATCGGAATCGACTATCTGATTAATTGCTGTAATTAGCTATTATCGTTATAGTCTTACAACGCATTAGGAAATTCATAACGAAATGATCCATATCTATTACCATTTTCTTATGAGCAAGCACCACATCTATCGACTATCGGATTGAATGCATAATTAGGTGGTATTTGGTAAAAAGGTTTCGGTATAGAGAATTGAAATAAATCTCATAATCATTGTTTGGATTACTACTATCGGAATTGAAATTTTGGAATTATATCTAAAAATTTGGAGTTTTCCAATTCCCTAGTAATTTGAAGGGTATTGGATAAAAGCCAAGTCTGATTCCCTTTTAGAAACGAGGCTCGTCCCACTACTTGTTAAAAATTAATATATAATTATATAATATATTTATAATAAAAAATGTAAATGTAATTATATTTATAAATATTATATACACATGTATAATATATTATATAAATATATATTATAAATTTATTAATATTATATAATAATATATTATATTAGTTAATTAAATTCATAAGGAGAGGAATTATCATATTAGGAGGTTTAATCTTTATTGCCTTATTTTCTTCCATCTTAGGAGTTTTAATCTTTATTACCTTATTTTCTTTACATGTATATTAGTACTAGTATTCATTTCATTGAATGTGAATTAGTAACACTACTAGTTTTCAGTACACGCATGGCACGTACTAGATTTAGCATTGTTACAAACTAGTATATCATTACCGTGTATTATATATTAACTTTGGTTTACACGTGTATTAATTCAACTACTTATATCCATTTATTGGCATCTCAAGACCGATCATTAAACACGAATTACAGAGCATGCTTGAACAAAAAATACAAAATAAAAGTCAATGTTAATGACGATAATTACTCTGCATGCATGCAAAAATTGCAAATTAAATGAGCGTCTGGATAACAACGCATAACTGCCACGTTGGCATAACATATTCTTCAAGTATGAACATGGCACGTGGTAATAGTGAATTCTTACATTGTGATGAAAAAAAAAATGATTCTACAACGAGGGTGTATTGTGAATGGTTTTCTGGAATTGGGGTCTTCGCATTCTCAGAATGCGAGCTCATTGAGCTCGCATTTTGAGAATGCGAGCTCAGTGAGAGCTCAACATCAAAATGCGAGTTCAGTGAGCTCGCATTCTGAGAATGCGAGCTCGCACTAACGTTGAAACCCGCAAGCGGGATTCTGTGTTTTTTCTATTTCAAGGTTAGCTCGCATGCGGGTTAATGTTATATTTGAGCGCGAGAAGAAAAAATTGGTAATTAGGCTCTTTGGGCATTATAAGTAAATATTTAAATTAATGGCAGTTTTATTACACCAATATTATTGTATTATCATTATTATGATTATTGTATTATTTCTTATGCAAATATAACATTTAATTATTTAAATTTGATTTTATTTTTACAATTTATAAAATTTTTATCACTTATATAATATTTTTAAAACCCTAATACATTTAAATTTGATTTTATTTTTCAAATTTATAAGATTTTTATTTAAAAAAATGGGATACGGATAAGATATCCGGTTGGTTCGATTTGCATAGGTGCATATGAGAATATCCGAATACTCTTTAAACCCGCATGCGGGTTTAAGGAGATTATGGCAACTCTCTGACACACTAAATAAAAAAGATAAGAGCTCGCATTTGCTTCCTAGAAATAATTCCCTAGCTCTTAAAAAAGGAAAAAAAAAAATTGAGAAGAGCTCGCATTCGTGGAATGCGAGCTCAATAACCAGAGCTCGCATTCCACGAATGCGAGCTCTTGTAAGCTCGCATTTGTGAAATGCGAGCTCATTGAGCTCGCATTTAGCTCGCATTTCACAAATGCGAATACCCCCCTGACGGAAATTAAACCTAAAATCACCCTTTTTGTAGAATTTTTTTAAAATTCATCACAAAGTTGGAAATTTCTCCAACAGTCTTGTATGTTTGTCGGCAAGCATTAGATTCTTCATAAGACAAATGGTGTCGGGTTGGGCAGCCCTATATGTGTCCTTATATATGTTAAATTCATTTTTTACCCTTTAAACAATTTATCATTTTTTTAGTTGGTCAAATGAAAGCTTTTACTTCTACAACCGGTATCCAACCACTACATCTGAAATCGTGCCACTTCTTTTAAGTAGGATCCAACGGCTATATTGCACACAAGTCCATCTTATGGTTCAAATTAAATTTCTACCACAACAGACAAAAGAATTATTTCTGTGCTGAAGTGATATCCTGCATCTCACTCACCAATAAAACTAGTTATAACTACTAGAATCACTCTAAACCAGAGACAGACAGAGAGAGAGAGAGAGAGAGAGATCTAGCTGGTTAGAAGGTGGTGGTTGGGAAATTGTAGTTGTTACTTGCTAGCTTGCGAGGAAGGGACGACATTATGGAAGTCGTGCAGCAGCTGAGGACGGGGGTGGAGAAGAGAAAAGAAGTGCTGCATCATTTCAAGGAGGAGGTTGAGGAGGCAGTTGAAGAGGCTTTATTGCAACGTCGTCGCTCCGCCAACATCCCAACTGCAGCTGCCAACAGTGGAGGTAACGCTACTGTCTTCCCCGCCGCCGAGGAGGTAGCTGCTGTAGATTTGTTGGATACTACTCCCAAGATGGAGGTTGTAAGTGGTAGTGTGGAAGGCGACCAGAAGGTGGAAAAGACGTCTGAAGAGATTGTTTACTTCGACAAAAATGAAGGTACGTACGTCACCAATCAATTGCTGCTATAGTACCACTATTTTACTCACTGGTGGTTTAGTCAACTTCCATGCCTATTTTAAGAGCAATTTGCGGTGCCGAAATATACACATGCTACCTTGCTGCTTCTGTATTAGATTTGCGAGATATTCAGTAATTAGTCACTGATATCGTTGTAACAAGTTAAGGTTATGTTTTCTAATTAGCGCCAAGCTTGTGAACAGAAAAATGGAGAATGAATCCCCCAGTCTCCATAAGCACAATGTTCGAAGAAAATGGATACACTTGTAATTATTGGTTAAGATCGACCTTTATCCACCTCTTCTTGCATACGGACCAGGGAAAAATGCAGAATGAATCCCCAGTCTCCATGAGCATAATGTTCAAAGAAAATGGATACAGTACTTGTAGTTATTGGTTAAGATCGATCTTTTATCCTCTTATTCTTGCATGCGGACCAGTCACCAGGGATGTAGATAAGGGCATACTAAAGTCTTCTCCTCCTAGTAGTGTTGCTTCTTTTTTTCCTCCCGTGAAAATTATGCAAAGGAGTAGACAATTCTGTCAAGGGGTCTTAGTCGTGAGAGGAGGCATTAAATCCCTCAGGTCAGGGATTCTCACCGCTTTTTTTGGTTATCATCCTCGCTTGGTTCTTTCTCCTTTGCGAATCTGCACCTTAGTAAAAAGTCAACTATTGATGGTAACCAGCTGATCTCCATGGTGAGAGGGTTATGTAATTTTTTTTATTTGCAAATTTCGGCATTGCGCTATGGAAGTCAACACCCTCTCTGCCGGACCAGACTAGATTTCTGAGCATTTAGTTAGAGCCCTTTGAGATTAGGCAGGTTTTTTAACAATTTAATTTAGTTGAATTCAAAACGGACTGAGCGCATCCGAAATTTTAAAAATAAATAAAAATGAGGCTTTCTTCATTTTTTTTTTTATGCTTTCTAGTATTAAATTTCAGAATTGGGGTTTAGGATTTTATACTTTCCGAAAAGCTTGTAGATGGAATGCAGGTTTTTTTGGATCTTTTTTTTTTTTTTTTGTGTTCGGTGTAGGAAGATCTTTTCTTCACTGTCCCTCACTCCCTTTTAAATTACAGAACCAATATTGATAATTTCTCCCTAATAATTGAATTGCTCCTCCATTAGTCATCAAACTATATATTCTGGTGTGATTATTTTCGTTTTGTCAACCATTGTAGTGCAAAATGTCGTCTCTAACTACGAATTCTTCTGAAACAAATTCAGGAAGAATTAAATGATCTGTTGCGAAATCTTGGTACCACATGCACCAACATATTCGTATATAACACATTCATGCAAATTCTACTTTCGTCTTGGAAAACAAGTTTAACTCTGGAACATTTGAAACTTGGATAAATTCCAACTAAGTTACTCCTTGACATGGAAGGAATGTGGAAGTGTCGCTACTTCATTTGGACCTATCCAAATGGAAACCCTCGGATTGATCAAAATCATCAGAAACCCTTTATTTTTGCAAATAGAGGTTAGTAACATGCATGCATGCCCATAGTTGTGAAAGAGATAACCATAAAAATTTTACCTTACATATCCCCAGTACAATATTTTTATTTTCCGACAAAATTTCCTTGATGATGTTCTTCCTTGTTTCTCCTTAATCAATGGTATTCATTACGCTGATTCATCTAATATAGTAAAATCCCCTTGATTTCCTTTCCGTTGTTTAGATACTTCATTGCATATTCATTGGCCATCACGGCATACTAGCTACTTAAAACTCGCTTCCAGATTTTATCTGATTTTCCATTTTGAGCAAAATGCATGTGGCTTTGTAGGTAGTGGACTGGAATGGTCTCATTCTAATGTCAAAGTGGAGGAGTCGGGTAGTGCCAAACTGAAGCACGTACAAATCGACCCAGTTCTGCCGGTGATAAGCGGTAAGGCGGTCAGGCAGCAGCCCTCCACAAGCCCACAGCTGCAGGAAGAAACCCATGAACGTGCAGAGGTGGATGATGTACTAGAGTTCGAAAGTGGCGAGGAAGAAATAGAAGTGGAGTTTGAGAGGGCAGTAGAGAAGATACACAGTCATGATGACTATAACATGTACTGTCCTCATTGCAGCAGTCGCATTACTAAGGTGGTTCTGCGTAGGAAAATGAGGCCAAGGATGGTTCCAATTCCAAGTCCAACACCAACGCAGCGTCATGACCTGTTTGGATGCTTGTCATGCTTCAAGATATTTATTTGTTCGGGTATTCTGCTTGTAACTACCTCCTGACTTCCCCCCTTTTTCATTCAAGCATTTCCTATACTAACTTTCTTTTTTGCCTTTTTTTTTCCCTGGGCCCATAATAAAATTTTAAGATCATCACGTACTCCCTGAATTCAGGGTAGAAAATTTGAATTTTAGCATATAAAGTTAAACTGGGCTCAGCTCTATTATCGTGTGTCCATGACCCAACCGTCCCAATTTTCACCCACATAAAGGAGTGATGGCATGCTACTTGCTTCTTTATGCTTCCATGTCTTACACAAGTTCATGTAATTTTCCTGGCCCCAACTACACCACCCTCCCCACCCAATAGTGTATATATATTCTGCTCTATTTGGCTCCCAGGTTCCAATAGCAATTGCGTCAATGACCTCATTTTTTGTTTTTGGCAAGACAATCTCAAATTCTGATAGTAAATTGTGAATGAGCTGTAAGTTATTGCATTAACAGTAGATTGCAAGATATTTGAATAGCCCAGATGATTTTCTAGTTTCCTTTTATTGATTGATGTGCTTTAGCGAGGACCCCATATTGAGTACAAAGTACCATGACTTTGTGAATTAAGCAGGGAATAGACTGAAATCACTGAATCCATTTCGATGTTTTGGAGCTGGCAAAGGGCCTGACAGCACACCACCTCTCCAACCAGGGCAACAATCACCAGGTGCAAGCATGCCCACATCTGGCACAACACAGGACAAAGGTGATATATGTTGGTCAAGAAAGTTGGTGCATTTCTCAATCTTAACGAATTATTTCAGCCTATTAGTTGTAGAAACCTGCATATTGGATACTTGAATACAACACACTTTAAGTTGTTATAAACTTACTTTCGATTTGCATTTGAGAAATCACATTTGTGGTAGTGGATCTTGTCACTTCTTGCTAAGATGATGTCATGGTTCAATCTTAAGTAGTCTGCTATTAGCCGCAGGAAGCTTTGATCTACTCTCGATTTGTGGAAAGAGAAGAACATATGAAAACCCCTCAGCAGATTTGAATTCTTCCTCCCCCGAAGTCACCAATGAGCCAAGAGATCAGGCCAATGATCGCCTTTCCCCCCTTTGCTTTGCATTTGGAGAGTTTGAGGGTTCAATTTGCAATGTTACTAAATCATTTTTTGCTTCTGAGATGATTGCCTTACTTTGGATCTGCATTTCCGAGATTAACTTCTGAGCCAAAATGATACTTTAGAGATCGCAGGCTTGTGTACTCGAATTCCAGCTTTGACAAAATCCAAATTGTCCACCTTTGTGCTGTAATCAACATTAAACATGATGCTTCATAAACATCAACCAGTTGTGTACTGGAACATGTTACCGAAACTATTCTTTGTTAATGGTACAAGACTTCCGTAGTTCTTGTAAAAGCATCAACTTTTCCATAGCTTGCATTTCACATTACTATAACTAACAAAATTCAACTGTGGTTCGTGCAGATGTTATCAAGGAACCAAAAAAAAGCGATAGCAAAGGAGATTATGTGACAATTTCACTTGGAAACACACAGCCTGGTGAAGGAAAAGCGGAGACCATCGCCCCATCACAAAGTTCCAGGTCATTGGAGATTGTCAGAAGTATTGTATATGGAGGTTTGATGGAGTCAATTGCAAGCCTAAGTGTTGTTTCATCAGCAGCAGCTTCTGACGCTACCACATGTAAGGCCTCTATCAACATAAATATTTCCACTTTCATTTCCTTCCCCCATTTGATGTCCCCAAATGTTAAAAGAAGCCTGATTAAAACTGTCAGTTAATCTAGTATTAAACTAGTTTTAGCCTCAATTTACAAGTTTGACCAGATTCTTTAAGCGGAATAAGGGTAGAATTTTCTCTTGAAATAATAGGCGTAACATCCTTGCTAGGCGTGATTTTAATTTCTCAAAACACAAAATTTTCAAAAACTAGATTGCTCTATTGGACGCTCCAATGAACGCTAGCAAAGGAAGTCGACTGATCAAAACTGATTCTGTACGCAAATCAAAAGTTTAGACATTATCTTAGGCTAGAAGTTTTACGACCGATCTATTTCATTCCTAAGATTGGTGAAGTTTCACTCACGTATCTGAACTCTTTCAGTGAACATTGTGGCACTTGGATTGGCAAACCTCGTTGGTGGACTTGTCGTCCTTGCACATAATGTAAGTTATTCTCGCTAAAGAAATTAGCTTATCCAATTCCACCACTTTGCCCTGATAATGGTAGCCTATCTTATAGAAATTCTCAACTTGCTAAATTGCTCACAGCTTTGGGACTTGAGATACGGAGACTCTAGTGAAACCAATGAAAGCAGATACGAGGAACAACTTGGTCGGAAAGAGCATTTCTCTCTTCATGCAATGCTAGCTGTGCTATCGTACCTTGTATTTGGCCTAATCCCACCTGTAATATACGGCTTCACATTCCGTGAGAGTGATGACAGGGATTACAAGATTTTGGCAGTTGCAGCAGCTTCTCTTTTGTGCATTGTTATTCTTGCAATGGCAAAGGCATACACACGCGGGGAACACAAGGTCATGGCATACTTCAAAACCATACTGTACTACGTTATTTCAGCAGTAATGGCCTCAGGCATTGCCTATGCTGTTGGGGACTTAGTCAACAAGCTCCTAGAGAGACTAGGTTGGTTGAACCCTGCTACAGTTGAGCCTCAGTTGTTTTCACAAGCCAAGTCATTCAATCCAACCAGCACGGCTTCGTACTGATATCACATTGTAATAACTTCAGCTGGAGTCTTTTAATTAAGTGTGTTTGTTCTCTTTACCGTGGTTGGGGTCGGTTAGGGTTTGAAGAGAGACTTGTGTTGTTTCTTGGTACTTTTATCTTCTTTAGTCAAGTTTGGGACCTTGGATTTAAGTTCTTTCCTTTGCTCAGGTCTAAGAGTATCTAGATTGAGTTTATGTATATGATGTCTGGTTTAATGAGGCTGCTCTGCCTTAAGTAGATTTTATAGTTTGATTAGCATATCTCAAACATTTGTTGACTGGAAGAGAAAAAAGCAGAATAGAAAATGGAGTAAGCGACATGAAGCAAATCAAGTGAATTAGTGGATACAGTTTGGTACAGGAATGAACTGGCAGGAAAAAACAGTTCCATTAATCTCCATTTAGTCTGCTAGGCGCTTGCTATTAAGCATACTACGACATCTTTTTAATAGTATTTGAAAATTGTTTCAGTTCCCTTTTCGTTTTGGAGCAATTGCATGCAAAGCCCTGAATGGAAGCTAGCAGGTAGCATAAAAAGTCAGAAATCGCCCCGTTTGGTAGGTGAGTTTTGGGTATTTATCTAAAATTTTACTGTAAATTACTGTAGAAGTTGTAAGAAAAATGTTTAGGTCGAAAAACTTTTTTCTTTCTTTTTTCTTTTTTTTCCTCTCTTCTTCTTCTCCCTTCCCTGGCACCTCTGCCCCTGACTAGAAGAACCAGCAACCTTGGTAAAAAAAAATTTTCCCCATTTTCTCTCCCCCTCTTCTCCCTCTCCCTCTCCCTCTCCCTCTTCTCCCCTTCCCTGTCGCCCGAGAACTTGCAAGCTGCAGCCATGGATTTTTTCTTTTTATTTTTGCTTTTTCTCTTCCCACTCTCCTCCCCCTTTCTTGCCACCCTCGCCCTTCCCCTAATTGCGATCTGGTCACCCAACAGCCATAGGAAAATTTTTTTTTCCCTTTCTCTTCCCCTCTTCTCCCTCTCCCTCTCCTCTCCTTTCCCTCTCGCCTTCCGACGCCAGAATTGTTGCAGCCATGGATTATACATATATTTTTTAGCTTTTTCTCTCCCCCTCTCCTCCCCTTCCTTGCCACTCTCCCCCTCCTCTAGCTACGATCTGGTCATGCGGCCAGATCGCAGCCCCCCTCCCTCTCCCCCTTTGCGATTTGGTTGCGCGACTAGATCGCAGCTAGGAGGAGGGGGAGAGGGTGGCGTGGGAGGTAGAGGGGAAGAGGGGAGGGGAAAGGGAGAAAGAAAAAAAAAGAAAAAAGAGGAGAACACCAACAGATCGGTCAAAGGGGGAGGGGAGGGGAGGAGAAGGGGAGAGGGGGAGGGGGGGAAAAAAAAAAAAAAAAAAAAAGGAAGGCCGGCACTAGCGGCCGGAATAGTGACCGGCGGTAGTGGAGGTTGTGGCTGGCGACGGAGGACGTGGTGGGTTGGGTGGAGGAGGAAAAAGAAGAAAAGTTGAAGGGAAAGTTTTTTGTGTATTAGATATTTTGAAGTGTGTAGGTTAAAAATTTTGATAAGTTTTTTAAGGTTTCTGTAGCAAAAATTGTTAAAAAACTAATAGCATACAAACTTGTAAAAAACTTGGGGTTTCAAACAGAGCCCTAATATGTAGCTGCATTTGAAGAGAAAAACAATTTCATATTCATGTTACATAGAATATTAGCCACGCTTTGACAATTATTCGCTAGTACCGAAAATAAAGTTAAACACTTTCTATTCTATTGATTTTTTAAGATATAAACTAAGAGATGACACCTTTATTAGTGCTGTAAAAAACATGACTCATAAAAGATTCATACCGGAAGATAAAAGTGAATTTAAGTTTTTCAGTCATCAACACGCTATTTATATGATTTACAAAGAAACAAACTGCCACAATTTTAGCTCTAAAAAACCTCGGCAAAAACTGCTTGATAACATAATCTTCTATTTGGCAAATCTTAACTAAAATATTCGTTAGTAAACCAATATGATTTTTTAGTTAACAAATATCCTAACAACAAGACTTATTGCTCTAGTAACTAATTGTTTGGAACCCAAGTTTTTTACCAAGTTTGTCTACTACAAGTTTTTTAAAAACTTTAGGTACAGTAACATCAAAAAATTTCTTAAAGTTTTTAAACTATACATTTCAAAATATTAAAAAATCTACACATTTCAAAAATTTTTTAAAAAACTTCCACAGTAAGTTATAGTAAAATTTTAGACAAACTCCAAAAAAAAAAATCACCTTCCAAACAGGTTAAATATAGTAAATTTTGTAAGAAAAGTTGGCATAACTCAACATTTTCTACTAACTGAATAGCTTGATTCTTTTTATTGTTTATCTTTCATATGTTCTGCACAAATTGCGACATATAATTTACAGTGTAGGCAAAAAGTAATTTAATAGGGTAGGTGTGGAACCCACAAAAAAAAAAAGGGAAGAGAGAGAACAATATATATAGTTAGCCTATCAATTTCACAACTTAGAACATCCATCTCGGAGATGAATGAACTGCATTTTGTCTGGGTCTGTTTGGCTGCTGCTCCAAGTTGTTCCGCTTCTTCAAAATTGAAGAAACAGTAGGACTGTAATATTCATTGCTTCTATGAGAAGCAGCCCCTTGTGAATACACATTTCTTCCTTGCATAAAGCTTCTCTGCTTTTCAATCATTGTCTTACGACCAACTGGAAACTTTTGGGCCGGCCCCCATCTATTATAGTTTACACAGCTCTGACTCCTCCCTACTTGGTTATATCTTCCCTCCTTAGGACTTGGATAATTACGACTTTCTGCTGTTTCAGCAGAATACATGGTGGTTTCTCCCTCACTACTGTAGTCACGTTGCATCTCTGAACCATCCACTGGAGATGCACAAGATTGTACCTCACTCTGGACACCATTTACAGAACCTGTCGATGCAACTTCAGCTTCAGCTATGATGCCAGAATGTCCTTTATCGCTAAATTGATCTTCATCCATCAGGTGCAGCCTTGGTGGTTCCTTGACATGATTTTCATCTGAGTTTGGCTGTACTATTCTGGTAGGCTGCAGTGAGGCTGGAACTTTAACAATCCTTGGTGGAAAATTTATATCCAAGAGCTGGATTTGGGTGCTTTCCCTTTTCCTTACTGGCGTAGACGTCAACTTTGGTGACTCGTATATTTCTGGTGTTGGAATTCCCTGTACATGAGTAGCAGCTGGTGGATCCGCAGTAACGGCTTCATCTTCTGAACTATTATGAACAGCAGAACAACTTGGACCAATATGCTTTGACATCATGTTTGATGATGATGGAGTTCCTTCATTTTCAGCTTCTGTTGACTTGAATACTTGCCGCATAGTGAATGATGCACAGGAATGTTCGCTCTTCTGTCCAGTAGACATTAACCGGAGCAGCGGTAATTTTGGTTTATTGAGTTCATCAAGGTTTCCCTCCCAATGCTGGTTTAACCAATCACAGATGATAGGGATGGGGATACCAAACTGCATTGGAAGATCTTTCTTCCATGATGATGACGATGAGGAAGAAGTTGAAGTGGATTTTGTATTCGGCGACGTGGCTAGCTTCATAGGATCACAGACCATAAACGCAAGATTGCCATGAACATCAAATCCAGCGGAACCAGGGCTCCAAATTACTCCATCTGTTGATAACTTTATTAGATTGTCGGTTGGTATTACAACCTTTCCTTCGCCCACAGTCAGCTCCTTTTCCTCTGTGCACCCTAATAGATAAACTACACTACCCAGGTCCAAGTTAGGATTGGAACAGGGTTTCAAGTGGTGATTGTGCTGTACCAGCACATTTGTGTCTCCATCCATTGCATCAAGGCCTACTATAGTCAGATCAAGAACAGAGCTGGTAATAAAGAACCTGCTACCAAACAAAGAAGTCAAGAACCAAAAGATGCATAGACAAATAGAGTCATTGTTGAAGGTCTCAGGAATGTTAGCCACCTCAGATAGAGCCAACCAAATGCTGACAACATGCTAAAATCACTTGGGTTAATTTCCAGTTAGTATACAACAAAATTTAATCTGTCCTAGGCATCTGAGTTTTGTCCCATCCAACAAACTAGACCTAAATACTTATGTCAGATAGAATCAAACATGCAAAAGGACCTTGTGTATATATTTAACAGACAATATCCAATTTGAGTTCACTCCTAATGTCAAAACTTCTTTAGGGTTGCTCCAACTTATTTTGGCTTGCGACAAATCAATCAGACATACACGAGATAACTATGGTAAACAGATCAATCAGACATATACGAGATAACTATGGTAAACAGATCAATCAGAAAATTGAAGCTTTGACCTCATTGAGTTGAAAAGCATTGAGTACAGAATATGAAGTGCTCAAGCATGAATTCGCTGAAATGCATAAACTGACAATAAAGCTTCTTTAAGGTGTCCTAACATTCAGAAATCCATGATCATGGATTTCAAGATCTCATTAAGTTTCCAGAATATTGTGACCACTAAAACCGCAAAGCTAAGAACATCAAGTCCGTTGAGAGCATTTGATACCAAAGGCCATTTTCTTAATTTCTTCACCCCAAAAAGGTACATGTAAGTTTTCTATTTTACCTTTAAGAAAATAAAAAGAAGTAGAAATGAGCTCATTTATTATTGGAATAGCCAGGCACGTACCATTATCTCTTTGGTCTAAAACAAGACCGCCCAATGGCCTCGTTAACAAGGGAAGATATGTCATTGAAATGCTGATAAAATCCAGCATAAGGTGACTACCTAAGGTCCTAAACAAACAAAGAGCTAAACATGGTTTTTTGGACCCATTTCTTCTGCACAGATTATCCAATGAATTATTGAATTTTCAATGAGTTTGGATAGCAAATTATCCCACATAATATTTCGCTTGTATCATAAACACATTTCTCAACCCGCCTTTTCATATTTCCAATCACATTTTTATCTCACATACATCACATCACAAAAAAGTGCTCCAGTTATTATTCCAAATAATGTTTCAAATAATACCCTATCCAAACAAATTTAACCGTTATCTGCTCACTGATCAATCATTAGGCAGATCACCAAATCGCAGTCATCTAACTCGTTATCAACCAAATATAAACAACTGCATGAAACTACCCACATCTAACCAAGCGGAAAACCAAATCGCATCGACGAAGTTTCTAACTAGTAGCTCATACCACGTAGACGAACCTAATGCTTGTCCCACTATCTAACTTTTACCCAGTT